CCCGCGGTCGCTGCGATGCGGGTGCGCGTTTCGACCCGCAAAACACAGGGTCCGGCCCAAAATGGTCGCATCGGTCACTGCAAGCCATGTTGGGGCCGACCCAATTATTTCACGAGGATAATGGGCCTGCGCCGCCGCAACTGCCGGGGGTGGCTGCTCCCGCGCTGGGCTCTGCTTGGCGGGCAGCTTGGCGTCCCAATGGCGCGAGTCGAGGTCGCTCGGGTTCCGATCCGTCTCGATGCAGCGGAGCCGCCACGTGATCTGGCCTCCCAGGCGGTAGGCGGCCGCGCGCCGGCACAGTGCCTGCAGGCCCGCGCTAGAGCGGCCCTTCTCGAAGGCCCCCACGGTGACCTGGCTGTCGCTGAGCGCGAGCAGCTTCGAACCCAGCAACCCGACAGAGCGGCAGTGCCTTCGCAGCCCCATCAGGGCCACTCGCGCCTCCTTCCGGTTGATGTGCTCGTCCTGCCAGCGCCAGCGGTCGGCTGCCACCAAGTGGCAGCGCCGACGCATCGTCCAGCCATCGGCCAAAGCGGGGATCCCCGAGTCGAGCGCCACCCTGACGCGGGCCCTCTTGGCGGGCGCAGCGTGGGCCAGCGACCTGGGGCGCGCCTCGGCCCGGCTCCGGAGGTCCTGGCCGAAGGCGGTCAGCGGGCCCGCCGCCACGCCCGGCGCGTCGCCCCGCACGTAGCCCAGGCCCTCGTTCACCTGGCCCTCCAGCGAGGGGACGTCCCGATATCGCCAGCGCCCTCGCCATCTCCAAGCCTCGCGGATCTCCTCGGGCTCGCCCTTCGTCACGTGCAGAGCGTAGCCGCGGCCAGAGGAATCGCCGCAGTAGACCTGGTCGGAGTTGGTGGCGCCGAGGTCGACCTCCATCAAGAACAGCAGGTTCATCGCGCAGCGGATCTCCGACTTCACGGACGGCCACACCCGCTTCGGTGCCTCCAGGGACTCCTCAATGAAGCGGTAGCACGCATTCAGAGCGGACATCGCCTCGGGGCAGAGCTGGTTCAGGTTCACCACGTGGCCGAGCCAACACTGTAGGGAATGTCCGTGCAGCCTACGCCGTCGCAGGAGGGCATGGCCAGCTAAGTAGGTACGCCAGACACGCCGAGCTACATGTCGAAGTCGTCGTTCCCGCCAGTGGTACACCAAGCCAAGCGTCTGCATCTCAAAACCGCCGCCTGACTCGACGTCAAAAGGTATGTTATCTTCGCAAAAACTCTTCTCAATCTCTGTCATCTGTCTTACTGCATCGCCTTCGCAGCCCCCGATCACCTGTACGTCGTCAACGTACACGCCTGTAACGCACTTGCCAGGCCTCAAAACTGGTGCGGGCTGCATCTCTCGCATGATCTGGTCGGCGCCGTCATCGAGGGTCTTCTCAACTCGGTAGGTGACGGCCTCGTTGGCGAAGTACACCCGACGTCGCCCTCCAGCCCAGCAGGACTAGCGGCGGTCCCAGAGCCCACGCCACCGAAGCCAGAAGCCTTCAAGCGGGGGTCGGAGAGATCCAGGTCGGCCATGCAGCGTGACGAGCCGAGCCGTGTAGTTGGCGGTAGCCGATGTGCTCTGTTCGCCGCTCGGGCGTCGATGATTAGCCTCTGAAGCCCATCTTTCTTCTTGACCACGAAGATGCCCGCGCGCCCCTTCAGCAGCCGGCGCCAGGTCAGCAGGCCCTGCTGGCTCAAGCGCTGGCACAGCCGCTTCCGTAGATCTCGCGAGCGCCGAAGTAGGGGATCCCAGTAAGGCGAGAAGCCCTCCCCTTCGGCTCGGTCCTTCTCAAGCTCCGCCTCGCCCCTCTCGATCAGATCGGACGCGTGCCTGATGTAGCCAAGCGCCGCAGGAGGAAGCTCTCGACGAATTGGTCGAACGTGGACCTTCCTGCGCAGGATCTTGACCTTGTCGAAGTCGAAGCTGGCCAAGCTCTTGGGCTTCATGCCGTAGTGGTCTCTTGAGTCGAGGATCTCCGCCAGGGATGATTCCTCTGCAAGGTCAGTTGGGCAAGCCCCATACGCCTCGACCCGCCGCGCGACGTTCTGGAGCATCCAGCGCTGCACGGCGGTGGGCCGGAGGTGGCCCTCAGGTGGTAAGTCGTGCCCCTGGGCGCGACGTGAATTCAGGTTGGCGGCAGCAAGCTGGTTCAGGGCCCGAACCGAGTCAAAAACTTGCCGAAGCCGCGCGGCGTCGCATGCAGTGCCGAGGCCAGCAGGATCGCAGGGCAGCGGGAAAGGGTCTCCATGCCGTCGATCGCGTGACCTGATGCCTCCTGGGCTGGAGGCGGCAAGCCCTCGTAGATGTCGGCTGCGGGGGGGCTCGATCGGCGCCCGGGCTGCCAGCGCCGGCGCCCCCGCAGCCCCGAGGGGCGTCATCCCTCCTCGCCGGCGCCGCCACCAGCGCCGGCCGCTCCTCCCTTCGCCTTCTTCGGGCGCCTCTTCGGGTTGGCGAGCTCAGTGTTGTCGCCGCCCTTGCCGTCGCCCTTGCGTACCTGCTTCTGCTCCTCACGGTAGAGCCGCTCCTGCTTCCAGATCGTCGCCCGCTCCTTGAGCCTGTCCGTGACCCAGGTGTTGAACCTCGAGGTGGAGGCGCGGCCCACGGCGTTCACGGGCGCGGAGATCACGATGTCGAGGCCGCTGTAGTCTGGATGGCGCGGGTTGCGCTCTACCGCAATCTCCGTCTGGATCACCCAGCGCACCAACAACTCGGCGGAGGCCAGCATGGAGAGATGCACTTGATCCCACGAGTGCATGAGGCGGATCACCTCGCACAGGTTCCGATGTACGTGGTTGACCGCCGAGCCCTCGCCGACCCCGCTGAGCCGCTCCCACTCGGCCTGGTACGACGTCATGTTGCCAGGCCCAGCGGCGACGCTATCCACGAACTCCTTCACGCTCCTGACGCCCGCCATAGGGAAATTCGGCTGGTCGGTGTCTCGCATCAACGCGACGGCCTCCGACAAGCGCAAGCTCCTCAAGCCGGCCTCGTCGTGGTGATCACCCAGCGTGCGCACATCGCCGAGGTCCGCCTTCGCGTCCCTCTTGAAGTCCGCCAGGCTGCTCGCCGCGATCTTCTGCACGAAGACCTCCTCCCCGTCCAAGACGGCCACGCCCTTCTGGTCGAAGCCTGCGCCGCGGTTCTCATCCATCATCCATGACCGCAGCGTCGACGATCTCGCCGAAGCGCTCGGAGCACGGCTCGGCCACCACCCAGATCATCCGCTCGATGGCGTCTACCTGGCCGACGCCGAGCAGCTGTCCCTGCAGCTTCGCGCGGCGACGGAAGGCGGCCAGCGCTGCCCCGGCGATCGGGTCGTGGGCGTACACCCGGTTCGCCAGGTGCGCGGGAAGGGAGCCCTCCTCTCGAGCACCTCGTGCCTCACATCCAGCAGCTTGATGCGGACCAGGTCGTGGTCGGGGGTGAGGCAGATCCAGATGTCCTCGCTCACCCTGAACAGAAGCACGCGGTGGTGCCAATAGAAGCCGTGCGGGTCGTTCTCGTACCGCACCAGGATCTGGGGGTCCGCGATGTCCAGCGTGAGGACGTCAGCCATGGCGTCGGCTCGGCGTCGAAGGGCCGCCGCCTCCAGTCACCGCGACCAAGGGCGCAGCGGCGCGCTCGGGCGCCCCGCCTGGGGGACCCCCGTTGGACGCCCGCCCGCGCGAGCCGCAGCGGCAGCGCCGGCAAGCCCCGGCCAGGAAGCCCAGCGCGCCCGCGCCGGAGGCGGTGAGGCCGAGCACCAGCAGCCCAGCCAGCAGCAGGCACCGCAGCGCCCAGACCTCCGCCTGGAGGTCGATGATCCGCCGCAGCTCCGCGTCGCAGGAGCAGTGGCAGACCTCCTCCGCGCCGCAGCTCGGAGGCGAGGGCGGCAGCCAGGCAGGCGCCGCGGGGGCCGTCGACCGGCCCCAGGACCAGCAGGCGCCCAGAGTCGCGCTCCAGGCGGTCACCAGCGTCGCCCACAGCGAGGGCGGCCCGCCTTCCTTCCGAGGCCGGCCGCGCGGGGGCCTCTCGGACTTGAGCCGCCGCGTTGCGGAGGCACGCGAGGCTTGCATTAAACCTGGCGGGCGAGAAGGGACCAAGGGGTATTCACGTCTACGACTAAACATACTAGGATCTCCTTGAAACAGCCGAGAGTGATCACGCTCGCAGGTAGACGCTAATCGCAGCCCCCTGCACCCGCAGTGGCGCACCCCTAGATGGCGAGTAAGGGTTTGTGCCCTGCGACGGGAAACCTTCAGTGCAGTTTGCCCGCACATATTGTGGTGTTTTGTTTCCCCCAAAGACGATGGATGAAAAAGTCGTCGTCGTCGTCGTCGTCGCCGCCGCCGCCGCCGTCGTCGTCGTCGTCGTCGTCATCGTCGTCGTTGTCGTCGTCGTCCTCCTCGTCCTCGTCCTCGTCCTCGTCCTCGTCCTCGTCCTCGTCCTCGTCCTCGTCCTCGTCCTCGTCTTCGTCCTCGTCCTCGTCCTCGTCCTCGTCGTCCTCGTCGTTATCGTCGTCCTCGTCGTCCTCGTCGTCCTCGTCCTCGTCGTTCTCGTCGTCCTCGTCCTCGTCCTCGTCGTCGTCGTCGTGGTCATCGATGTCGTCGTCGTCGTCCTCCTCCTCGTCCTCATCCTCGTCCTCGTCCTCGTCCTCGTCGTCGTCGTCATCGTCGCCGACGTCGTCGTCGTCGTGGTGGTCGTCATCCTCGTCCTCGTACTCGTCCTGGTCCTCGTGTCCTCTTCCTCGTCCTCATCCTCGTCCTCGTCCTCGTCCTCATCCTCGTCCTCGTCCTCGTCCTCATCCTCATCCTCGTCCTCGTCCTCGTCCTCATCCTCGCCCTCGTCCTCGTCCTCGTCCTCATCCTCGTCCTCGTCCTCGTCCTCGCGTCGTCGTCGTCGGCGGTGTCGTCGTCGTCGTCATTGTCGTCGTTGACGCCCGAAGACCTCCGAAACGACGACGTCGTAGGCGACACCTCCGGGGCGTCGCCGGCCTGCCCCCTCAGCCCCCCCCCCCCCCCCCGCGCGGCCAGTCCTCTCCTCGAGCTCTGGACCTTGTCCTCCCATTTCCCCGCCTGGCGAGATCAGAGGAGAGAGGAGGAGGAGGAGGAGGGAGAGGAGGAGGAGGAGGGGAGGAGGAAAGGAGGCTGAAAAGGAGGAGGAGGAGGAGGATGAATAGGAGATAGGAGGAGGAGGAGGAGGAGGAGGAAGGAGGAGGAGGAGGAGGAGGATGGAGGAGGAGTAGGAGAGAGGAGGAGGAGGAGGTGAGGAAGGAGAGGAGGAGGCCTGATGAGGGGGAGGAGGAGGAGTGGAGGCCTTTGGGGGCCTCCTTGGGCTTTCTGTGGGCTTTCTGGGGGCGTCACCCAGGCCTCCTCGCCTCGCGGCGGGATGCTTCTGGCCGTCCTTCGGCATCCGGGGGCCCTCGCTGGGCCCCGACGCCGTCAAAGACGCGGCTCGCGGGGTGATGAGCCAGTCCCGGGGAATCGGGCGGGTGGCTATGGGGGGGGCCCTACATGGGGGGTGAAGAACGGGGCCCCACAGGCCCCGTGAGGGCTCCTTTAGGGCCCCTGCTTGTTCCAAAAAAGACCCTAAAGGGCCCATTTCGGGCTGGGGATTTACTGACACGGGTCAATCCAGACGCAGGTCAGTCAAGCTTTGCAGGATCCTGCAAGACCCTGCAAGATCCTGCACCCAAACACGGGTCAGTGCACCCCTGGCTCTGCAAGATCCTGCAAAATCTGGCGCTCTGACTGACCCCTGTTTGCAGTCACCCCCGTCTCGTGAGCACCGACGAGGGAAGGGGCCAGTCCCAGGGAATCGGGCGGGTGGCCATAGGGGGTGACCAAGATGGGAGGTGAAGCAAGGGGCCCCAGAGGCCCCCTTTGGGGCCACTGCTGGCTCCAAAAGGGGGCCCAAGGGCCCACGCTACCACCCGCCCGAGGGCAGGGGCCGGGACCAATGAATTTTTGTTGGGGGTCCAAAGAAGCCGGGACCAAAGATGTTTTTGGAGGGGGTCCCGAAAAAAAATCTTTGGTCCCAACCTCCGGGGGCCACGCTGCAAGAAGCTTCCGGCGTCGGCGCCGTGGCGCCAGCGGCAGCGGGCGGGGCGGGGCGGGGCGGGTGGCGCGGGGAAGAGGCAGGGAGCGCCGGCAGGGCGGCCCTCCCCGCCGAGGGGCAGCGGGCGGGGCAGAGCGGCGGGCGAAGGGGGGAGAGGAGCGAGGAGCACGCCAGGGGCCGCGCCCGGGGGGCGACCCTGCTGGCCTCACGGGGGGGGCGGCGGTTCCAGGTCGCCCCCGCCCTGCCCGCCCCAGGAGGGCGGCGGGCAGAGGGAGGGGCAGCGAGCCAGGGCGGGAGGAGAGGAGGCAGGCGTGCGCGGCCACAGAGGGAGGCCCGATGAACGGGCGCTGGCGGGGGGGGGGGGCGCGGGCAGCTCGACGGCGGCACGGGCGAGGGGTGCGGGACGCCGAGGGACAGACTAGTACGACGCGTCCTCCTTGGAGGCGTGCGTCCGACCAGATCATGAAGCGCAGCCATACTTCAGCAGATCGTGCTAGTTCACCCCAGCGGCACGGCCAGAAGGCGCCCGCCACCGAGCATGTAGTTACTGTAAGGTTGTTGAGCGCGCGCGTCGCCCTTTTGGGGGCGACGCACGTATAGTTTCACAGGGCTGGACCTAAACGTTGTTTTTCGTATTGCTTTCGCTTTGTTGCTCGTTTTGCGCAACCTGTTTTCCTGGACCCTCCTGCCAAAACGAAAAACAAGACACAGCCGAAGTCCAGCGAAACCGCGTTCGGGTCCAGCCAGCCCCGCAGTTTCACTAGGTGTGGATGACGCCGGGGAGTGGGGCGGCGAGCGCAGCAAGCACGACAGCAGCAGGACACCGACGCAGCACCGCGGCGCCGCCAGGGGCGCAAACTGGGGCCGGCGGGCCTCGAGAGCCGGCGTCGCCAGAAGATGCAGCCCCGTGAGGAATCGCGACTGGGGGCCCTGCTGCCCTGCTCGGGCCCGATCGATCTGCGAGGGCCCCGGGGCCCGAAATCCCTGGCGAGCGAGGCATCGCCGATAGATCTGCCACGAGGCCGCGATGGCGAAGACTCGCGGTCCTGCGTGGGGCGGGCTGTCGGGCCCCTTCTCGGCGATCAACGCGCAAGCGGGAGTCGATGCATCCGCCCTTGAGTCTATCCCCCCTACAGTCGGGGGCGTTGACCTAAGGAACCCGAAATAAGGAACGAGGCCCCTTTTTTCCATAAGTTAAACTTCGATTCCCGATCGAAAACATAAGGAAAACCTGAGGCAAGCTGCGAAACACTTAAGGAACGCGGAGCCCCTCCCCAACGAAAAGGGTTCCTTCTTCAGGGCCCCGACTGTAACGTTGACCCTGAGCCTGGTGTGAAAAAATGTTCTGCGGCACCCTATGGGAACTCCCCATGCCACCGGCTCTTGCGAAACGGCGCAATTCGACGCCAAATCGGCGCCGCCTCGACGCGAAATCGACGCTAAATCGGCGCTTCCTCGTCGATAACCAGACGCCAGCGCACCCGAATGGCCTCCAAACAAGGAATCGCGAGGACACAGAAGTTGGCGTCGCGCACAAGGGGGTAGGCGGAGGGGGCAAGGCTTCTTAGCCAGAGGCTCCTTCTTAGAAGGCGCCGCCTTTACATCTATAGATAAGGCCCGCGCCTTCTTAGAAGCAGGGGTGCTTCTAAGAAGCCTCCCCCCTTCCCCCTACCCCACTTCTGCGCGTGGCCCAACAAGGCTCCCATGATTCGCTACCGAAGAAATGCGAAACCCGGATCTCGGGGAAGAGGGGTACACTCGGACCTAGGACAGAAGAACTTCCTTCAAGAACACGAGACCCTCCACCGGCCAAAACACACAGAACGTCCGATGGGTACCCTCCCGAGGATGCTCACCAGCATCCAACACACCAATACACACACACACACACACACACTTTTTGCGTCTGCGGCCAGGCAGAGTGACTGCGCTGGCGGATAGGGCATGTGTAGGGCGTCCAGATGCGAATCAAGCCGCAGTGCGAGAGGCACACACACGCACACAAAGAAAAAACAGTGGGACACCTCCCCGAAACAGGCTCGATCTTATGCCTCGGTCCGCCCCTAGGTTCAAGTCGGGCGTGTCCCCCTACAGGGTGATTTTGGACGGAAAAAAATATTCAAAAAACACCTCCAAAATAAGCAAAAATAGTCAAAACTAAAAAAACAAAAAAAAAAAAAAAAAAAAAAAAAAAAAAAAAAAAAAAAAAAAAAAAAAAAAAAAAAAAAAAAAAAAAAAAAAAAACGTCCCCTGACCATTTGTTACTATGCTTGACTACTCCTCCTGTAGAGGGACAGGCCCTGCTGGACCCTGGGGAGCGGGCGCTCCGGGCTCCACCTCGACGGCGAGCCTCCTCCGCCTCCTCCTCCTCCTCCCCCTCCTCACTCTCTCCTCTCTCCTCCTCCTCCTCCTCCCTCCTCCTCCTCCAGGGTGCCCTCGGCCCCCCCCCCAGACCGAGAGGGCCGGCACCCGGGTGGGGCGACGGGTGAGGGAGGTCAGCTGCTCGTGTTGGAGGTCCGACCCCTTACTTTACTCGTATGGCGCTCTCAAGCCCGTGCCTTTTCAGTACGCGTGTCAACGTTCACGCAGTATTGTGTCGATCATGCACTTGCTGTGTTCGCATGCCGCTGCCATTTTCATTCGAGTCCTGACGAGCCCCAGCAGGGGCGAAACGTTGACACGTGTACTGAAAAGGCACGGGCTTGAGAGCGCCATACGAGTAAGGTGCTCGTGCTGTTGGAGGTCCGACCCCCCCCCACCGGAAATGCGGGGCAAATCGGGGCCTTCGGGTTGGGTTGGGATGGGTTGGTGAATGGTGAGAAACTGGGCGCCAGCACCAAAACAGGGGGGGGGGTGCGCCCCTCGGGGGAGGACGACTCTGGATTGTGGTGTCGGTGGTAATCCGTCGGCCAGCTGGGAGGCCCGACCATCACCATCGGCACCGAGATCGGGCGCATGTTCCCTCGGTGGAGGCACCTCGCCGATATGGATGTTGGCGTCAACCTCTAGGCCTCCGATTCGAAGGACCTTCGCGAAGCCACTCGCTCCACTCACGCGTGGATGCTGCGTCGAGCGTCCGTCGACTTGAGCCGAATGCGAGTCGAACTTGAGTCGAGCTGGAGTCGAACTGGAACCAAACTAGGTTCGGACCAGAGCCGAGCAAATAAGTTAGGTGGGCCCCGGGAAGGTCCCAACCTAAAGCATTGCATGGAGGGGGGCGCACCGCAGAGGCCGTCTTGGAGCGACCTGCCGTCTGTCGTGCTCCCAGAACTCCCGCGTCGTGATGTGCTCACGACATTGACCCCCCCCCCGAGGGCTGAACCCCTTCGAGGGGCCAGCGTGTCATCCCAAGTCGTCTGTCACGGCCCTGGGGCCCAGCGGGAGCCTCCGGAGGAGGCAGAACGCTGCCGACAAAAAAAAACTTCACGAGGAGAGGTGGTCTGGGCCCTTGAGGCCGAAATGGGAGCATGCTGAATGAGGAGCCGAACTCTAATACACCGACGCATTTTCCGACCCCGCACCGAAATTCGCACAGGAAAACGGATCCTGGTGTATACGGGATCCTGGTGTATGCATGTGTCGTTGCTTCCCCGGAGAACGGAAACAAAAAGTATACACCACACCACCCCGACGTCGTTCTCGACCCTCAAAGAGTCCTGGGATTGAAGAACAGCAGGCCACTGGTAGTGTATATGTTCCAGCTTCCGACTAAAATCCAACCGTGAAGCTCGAAATGCGCAGTCCTCCTCCGAGCTCGACTGCTGTGCCACGCAGGCCCAGCCGCGGAAGGCGGCCCAGACGGCGTACTCCCGCCGTCGAGACGACGCCGCCACGAAGCACCTGGCGGCGCGCTGTGATTGTCGCCGATGCTCGACAAACATGACCTCGGGGCTGCCATTGTTTTCTTTACATCAGCAACATCCATATCGACGATGATACGGAAACGAACTCTATAGACCGACGCTTTTTTTCTGGCCCTGCACTGACACTTGCACAGGAAAGCGGGTCCTGGTGTATACGTGATCCTGGTGTATGCATTTTTCGCTGTTCCTCCCGGGAAACGGAAACAAAGAGTCTACACCACACCACCCCGACGTCGTTCCCGACTCGCAAAAAGTCCTGGGATTGAAAAAACAGCCCGCCACTGGTAGTGTAGATGTTCCAGCGTCCGAACATTCGCAACATCCATATCGACGATGAGGCGCCGAAGTGCGCCAGCCAGTCTTTGGCGCCAGGAGTAAGAGCGGGAGAAGGCGGAGAGGAGTGTGGCAGGCCCATAGAGGCAGAACAAAACGTGGCGCTCAACAAAGCGCGGGCCAACGTGCCCTGGCCAACGGCCAAAGAGGCCAACGGCCAACACCAAGGGCACACGCGCAAAAAGGGGGAATCACGGACACAAGCTGGGACCTGACCTCCGGCTTCGGAGATAGGGAGAGGGGGGAAGCGGACGAGACACCGATTAGGTCAATGGGGACGTCGGCACGACATGACGTCGGGACTGCGGGAACTCGCGAGCCTAAACATACCCTACGAGAGCTCACAGAGGCACCCTTCTGCCAGCTCCTGGGACCTCGGAACGGACCGCGTGCGCAGGTTCACGTCGTGATGACGTGGGCGTTGGTTTCTGACACGTCGTGGATCGTCCAATCTTGAACGATCCTCCTCCTCCTCCTCCCCCTCCTCCTCCTCCTCCTCCTCCTCCTCCTCCTCCTCCTCCTCCTCCTCCTCCTCCCCCTCCTCCTCCCCATCCCCCTCCTCCTCCTCCCCCTCGTCCTCCTCCTCCCCCCTCCTTCTCCTCCTCTGCCTCCTCCTCCTCCTCTTCTCCTCCCTCCTCCGCCTCCTCCTCTCCTCCTCCTCCTCCTCTCCTCCCTCTCTCCTCCTCCTCCTCTCTCTTCCTCCTCCTCTCCTCCTCCTCCTCTCCTCTCCTATCCTCCTCTCCCCTCCTCTCCCTCCTATCCTCCTCCTCCTCCTCCTCCTCCTCCTCTCCTCGCTCCTCTCCTCCTCTCCTCTCTCCTCCTCCTCCTCCCCCTCCGCCTCCTACGCCTCCGCCGCCACCTCCTGCCTCCCTCTCCTCTCCGCTGAGCCCTCCTCCTCCTCCTCCTCCTCCTCCTCCTCCTCCTCCTCCTCCTATTTTGCCGCTTTCCGATGTTGGAGACCGTTTCATACTGGCCGAGTTCCAGCAGCTGGCGAAGCTGAACCTTGAGCGCCCACGCTCGCACCGTCGCCCCATCCACGCAGCGTGAACTCACCATCTCAGCGGACGTCAAGAGCCGAAAAAGCTCAAATCCATTCGGCATCTGTTCAAAGTCTGGGAGTCGGGGATAACACTGTCAAGGCGCTATCCGCGCAATGCTTCGAGATACGGCTGAACAAGTCCTGTGTACTTCCAGCTGTGAGAAAGTGGTTGAGACGTGAACTTATGAACTCCATTGAAGAAATTGTCGGTAGACACTTCCCCGATAGTCCAAAGAAGCAACTCCCTGCCAGAGCGTTCGACTTCTCCTACCTATTGTAATTCCGAGCGCACCTCGCTTTCTAGCGGACCCCCAGGCAAGGCCTTCACTCTGAGTACCTCCGGACACAACCCCTGGACACTGGACGCCTGATGCTCCAGACCGGTGCCCCGCCTCGTAGCTGCCCGTGCAGCAAGAGTGCGCAGTGTTGGGCAAGCCTGCAGCCGCAGTCTGAGCTCTCGTTCATCGCGCCCGCGATGCGGACGGAGTCCGCGGCATACTGCAGACATGCCAGGCCCCCACAAGCAAGCGTCAGGGGGCCGGCGGCGGCTGCGGCGCCAGCACGGAAACTCCGGGAAGCACTCTGCCTGGCCCGCTCCGGGAACCCAGAACCCAGACATGCTGACATCTCTCGGTGTCACGTATTGCGATTCCGCCAGCCTCTCCTGGCCATCCGCCAGCTTTCGCCAGGCGGAGCCTCCCTCCATTCCTCCCGCTGGCTTCCGCCGAATTTTCCGCCGCCTGCAGCCGCCTCAGCCTTCATTCCCTGGAAGAGCCACTCTCCAGGAGTACAGAAAAGTCCAAGGAGCAATCGCGGCAGAAGTCTGGAAAAGTGACCAGGGAGGAGGAGGAGGAGGAGGAGGAGGAAGAGGAGGAGGAGGAGGAGGATGAGAAGAAGAAGGAGGAACGGCGGAGGAGGAGGAGAAGAGCAGGGAGGTAGATAAAGAGAAAGAAGGAAAAGAGCAGGAGGAGGAGGAGGAGGAGAAGGAAGAGGAAGGAGGAGGAGGAGGAGGAGGAGGAGGAGGAAGAGGAAGAAGGAGGAGGAGGAGGAGGAGGGAGGATGAGGAGGGAAAGGAGGAAGAAACAGCAGGGAGAGGGAGGAGGCCCAGGATGAGGAGCTCTTGTTACTTTCGCGAGGAGGCCGAGAAGAAGGAGGGAAGAGCAGGAGAAGGAGGAGGAAGAAGAAGAAGAGAAGCTGGAGGAGGAGGAGGAGGAGGACGAAGATGGATGAGGAGGAGGAGGAGGAGGAAGAGGAGAATGGAGGAGGAGGAGGAAGAGGAGGAAGAGGAGGAGGAGGAGGAGGAGGAGGAGGAGGAGGAGGAGGGGGGAGGAGGAAGAGGAGGAGGGAGGTGGGAAGAAAGGAGAGCAGGCTGTGGACTCCCCCCCGCGTGGACCCACGCACGCCAGGCGCGCGGGCCACGCCCGCAGCGAGCCCGGCGGGCGAGCACCGCGGACGACAGCAGCCGCTCCGCGTGCCTGGCGAGGCAGCTCCGCCGGCCCGGCGGGCGCCCTCGCGGCGAGCACAAGGAGGCCGTCGTCGTCGTCGTCGTCGTCGTCGTCGTCGTCGTCGTCGTCGTCGTCGTCGTCGTCGTCGTCGTCGTCGTCGTCGTCGTCGCCGTCAGGGAGTTGCGGCCGCGGCGGCCCAGGGCCCGACCAAGAGCTTTTTTTGTTTTTTGCGATGGCGCCCGTGACTGGCCCCGCCCCGCACACCCCCCCTGGTCACGTCACGATTCGCGCCGGCACCGTCTGGGAATGAGCCGTTCTCAGGCGTTCCCAGACGGCGCCGGCGAATCGTGACGTGACAAGCCCCTACCCCCATCCAGTCTGGAGCTTCCCCCTCCCCCCAGTCGCGCCCGTTCTCTCCAGGGGATCCGCTGACACCCACTTGCCGGGGGTGCAAAGGCGTGAGATGATTGGCTGTCCCCCTCCCCCTTTCCCCTCCCCTGGGGTCTGAAATCAGATTAGAGGGGGGGAGTCTGGGGGGGGGGGGAGGACGAGCTCGTCCACGCACCCTGGGGTCTCCAGAGCCTCCAAATCTACACTCCGTGGCGTCCAGGATGCCCAAGATGACATCTAAGCTGGCTCAAGCTTGGCTCCAACACGCTGAGGAGTCCTCAGAGGGCCCCAATGCGATCGAAGAGGGTCCCAAGACGGCCCACGAGACGCCCGAGATGGACCAAGAGAGCCCAAACAGGGCCCCAAGAGGGGCAACTCGAACTGACATTCCGAGCCCTCCGCCCAAGAAGAACCCCAAGACTTGTGGATGCCACGACAATGGACACTCTAACAATCCGATCATTGAATGACAGATGTGTTCAAAAAGTGTAAACCATGCTCTTAAAATCTTCCAAACATGTTTCTACAGATCTAAAACATGCTTGAAACATGCTTTAGACATCTGGAAACTATTTCGCAGCACGCTTCCTCGCCATGAACCGTCCTCCACAACCCAAGACCGCCAGCAGGTGCCCAAGAAGCTCCCGACGGGCGCGAAGAGGCCCCCGAGAGGCCCCCCCGGAGGGGGCCCCCAAAAGGCCCCGCCCGTCGATCTTATCCCTCTTCTGGGGGCCGGCGGAATGGCGTAAGCCTCTTTGGCCCTCGGGCCCCCTGACAGCCCCACGCCAGAGGGCGAGCATACATATATATATATATATATATATATATATATATATATGTG